TCCGTATTAATTGAAATTTGCTTCAGGTAAGACACTCAGACTTTAATTTCGAGTCAGATCTGAATTTCTCAGCTAAATCGCGATTGCAAATATAATGTCACATGTATTATATAATTCAAATAAAAAACTCTCATCTAACTCTAAATTCAGATTTGAGTATTTCACGTAGGACAAGTTTCAAGTAACGACTATTAATACGAGCCTTAGATACTCATTTCGTCTGACTTGTCTGCAAATTCTGCATCGTTGGAAAAGTTTTAAATATAAACTTTTCACAGAAAATTAAAGAGACTCGAAAAACAAACTTTTTAACTAAAATTAAAATTTTTAGTTACACGAAAATTATTAATTTTTTGACTTTTCTGTAAAATTGGAATTTTGTAAGTTAAGAGGCTTTTCAACTTGACCGATAAACTTTTTTGATCTACTATCTCCTGCTATCTTTGCATGGAGAAAGTATTAATTAAATTAAATAAAAAAAAAATAAATAAAATAAAAAGAAAATAAAATAAATTAAAATAAAAAATAAAATAAAAAATAAAAAATGAAATAAAATAATTTTATTAATTTAATTTTTTTAATATTAATTTAGTATTTAGTATATTTAGTATATTTAGAATATAGAATGTGTATATATGTTGAGCATTGGTACTTTTACCTTAACAAACATCCATCGCGCTATGCTATTATCCATTACGCACGTTTAGCAGCTGCGCGGTCAACGGCTGTTCAGTGCCCAGCCCAGCAGAAACTAACGTGTCTAATCACGATAAGTAATAATTGGAGATACACACAAAGATTCGAGTAATTTAGGTACGATAACAGAGTGATCACGCTTATTATCACGTTCATGTTATTATCGCGTGAACTTCATTCTCTGGACTTCAATCTGAGTAATAACCGAGCATATAACCACGAGACATAATTCATCATTATTTTCTTTCAGATGTCCAGGCGCCAAGTGTCAGACACATTCTCCCTGAAATTTTTCCACATAAACTGTTTACATGGATGTTACTCCTGGATGTATAGAATATAGAAATGATAATCGAAATTACTATATATTTGTTTAACATGTATGTTTGATCTTTTGTTTATACTGCAAATTATTGTAACTATCATTTCAGAATATTACAGTTTCACAAAAAACTGTAAAAATATATAAAAGCTCGATATCCCAACTCGACTTCATCTTGACCAATCTCTCGTGAAGACTGAAGATGAACAAAAAAATGCAATACTGTTTTGCATAAATCGTAATAATGATCGAGATGTTAATCTCTAATTAGAACGCTCAAATTTGTTCTAAAATTGATTATCCCACTACAATATCAACTAGAAATCTCATTCTTCCTCCGAACATAGGTTCTCTGTCTAGACTCAAAATACTATAAAAACTTTTTTCGATAACGTTGATATACGTTTATGGTACAAAATGGGGAATCATTTTTATATTAATTATTGTATTCAATAGAATAAAAAAAATATATATTTTTTTAACTCTGAGTATTTTTAACTGTGTGGTGAAATTATTTGCAATGTTTTATTAAATTCTAATGTAAAATAAAGATTAGAAGAAATATTGGGAAAACATGGGGTTTCCCCATCTTCAATCATACGTTTGAAATATTACACTTCTTAATCAGAACCTATAATTAGTTTATAACCTATAATTAACCTATAATTATCTTGGAGAATTGGACTAGACCTTAATTAGACCCCAAGATATTTTTTACGCGGGTTCTAACGTAATTTTTATCACAATATTTCCTCTGTATATGTTAGAATGTTGAAATTACTCTTGAGGAGGGTGTTATTTAAAATATACACAAATTAAACGCTGCGTTCCGACGCGCGCAAAGCGGGAAGAGCGAGAGGACGCTTTTTCCTGCCGGCGGGAAGATTTTTCAGCGGGCGTTTGGCAGGTGGAGGCGAAAGAGATCTCGTCGGGTCAACGGATATCCGTAAACGCGGGTTCCGTAAGCGCGGCCGTCTCGCCCGCTAATAATAAACCCCGTGTGTCTCGTATAACCCACCGGCCGGATTTATATATTTCGCGGTGCCGGAAACCGATTCCGAAATATCCCGTGCGAGACCACGGAAGCATTAAAAGAATAATCCGGTGGTCCACTCTCGGACACGGCGGGCGGACAGCCGTAGTGGAGGTATACACGCAAATGAGCGTGCCGAGCAGCGCGGCGTCGAAATCTCCGCCCACGAGGAACGTGTCGCGTGCCAAAAACACGGAGTATCGGTTTCGCGGCGAACGTGTCGTCGAGACGCTCGATCGACCGGGTTTCCCGCGGATATACGCCGTTTCCGCCGCGGCCTCTCTCTCTCTCTCTCTCTCTTTCTCTTTGGTCCCCCATTCAGAAAAAGATGGGCACGAATTCTAATTAGTGGAATTTAATTAGGAGACGAAGAAAGGTTATATAGATGCTCTTTCATTTTAGGATTGTACAAGAAATCTTGCGTACAAATGTTAAAATTTTCATGTGTTATCCATTGTTGACTGTTATTTCAATATAAAATTAACATATCGATATGTTATTATTTCAATGTGTTATATTAATAACTCTCTTTCTCTTAGTTTTTTTGTACGTTACTTGGAAATGGAATATTATTTTGGGTTCTTTTAACACAATTATTAAGAAAATAACATTTCTTAAAGTCACTTTAACTTTATTAACAAGAAGTAAAAAGTGAATCTTCAAATAATTGTAAACTTTGACATGTAGGATAACCAAATTTATTAAGAACAAATTTCTATTACGTTTCTATTACGAATAAGAATCAAAGTAATCAAAATAATGAATATCCTACGTTGAATCAAAGTAATTAATACCCTACATTAAATCGAAATAATTAATATCCTACGTCAATATAATATGAAAAATAAGTTATAACGCGTTCACTTTATATGTTTACATTAACATATATGTTTTTCGGTTAAAAGAACTTGAATGATTAATTTCCTAATATACATTGAATTGTATTACTGCTCAACTTTTTAAGTGTCCTAATATAAATTGAACTGTTATTGTTAAGAGTGAAAATAATCGGGCGACGGGATGTAATATTTTATATGAAATATTTCCAAAACTGAGGTGAAGTGAACTGAAACGTTCACGAAGTGTCGCAAACATGAATCCACAAAAACTGTGGCACCAACCCGGAAGTTAAATCTAGCATTTCCAGAACAACTCGCCTTTCATACACCTGTCGTGAGTCGCGTCCGCGGTCGAAGATAAACGAGAGCGCTTCGCGGGAAACTAAGTAGACTTTGATCTCATCTAATTTCAATTTAATCGCTCGATTCGTGTATACCAATTAGAACCCAGTTCCGAAGGTAATGGCTGATGGCGCGTCACGATACCGTAACTTCCCGGTTGTTCATCAAGAGCAGCTTGGAATTTTAGCTCGCGACGGAATGAAACCGCAATCTCAACGCCTGACGTTGCGCGTATCGACTGATTTGCAATTAGTAGTCTAATCTCCTATGCCAAGGCGTTTAATGCAGTATAGAGAGCGAAGGTAATATAAATCGGTCACCGCCTCCGCCTGCTGTGCCGTGCTGTGAGATCTTATCGCGAAGAAATCACGTCGATTCGCTACATCGTTGTATGCGTCTTTGATTGCTCTCGGGATTTTCTTACTAGACACGAAGTTGTAAACGATCCGTGTTGAAATATTGCCCGGACATCGGTTACAAAGAAAAGGAAAAAAAAATGAGAAAAATCATTATTACCGAGAAAAAGAGAGAGGGAAGGAGAGAGGGAGAGAAGAAAGAGAGGATGGAAGAAACAGAGAGAAGAGAGAGACAGGGACGCGCGTTGTGTCCGAGAACATTTAATCTCGTGTGAGTGGCGTGCGCCAAGATAAGCTGCTTTGAAATGCTCGAGACGATAAGAATAGTTGATAAGAATGGCAGGGCCCGTCTCTCTACGGGGTAGTTACCCGCACGGTCGCTTTCAATGGAGCCGTTCACCATGAAATTTCGTAGCAATCCCGAGAACATCGAAACTTCATCGCGTCGCCGCATCTTTCGCGTGCTTCAATCGTAATAGCTTACGTTCGTTCGCAATTTTCTCCGGTTGTCTCATAGGTGAATTATATGTAATGACTAACACGTTGCTGTGAAAATAATCGAGAATTAAAGAATTGAAATTAAAGCATAATAAAAGGCATAAGGATAAAATTAAATGAAAATGAAATATAAAATGAGATTTAACAATGAAGTAATAAATGAGATAATAATAAAATATATATGTAATAAATACATAATATGTAATAAATACTATGTAATAAATACATAAAATTAAAAAATAAAATAAATAAAATAAAATAAATAAATAAAAATTAAATAAATAAAATTAAAAAATTATAAAAATAAAATAGAATGAAAAAGCAATATAAAATAAGATATAAAAATGAGAAATAATAAATTTGAGATAAAAGAAATAATAAAATTATAACGAATAATAAAATGTTAAAAATAAAATGAAATAACAACGAAGTGAATTAAATAAAATGTAAAGATAAGAAACAATTGAGATAAAAGAAATAAAAAAGCTTTTTAGGAATAAAATGTTATGTATAAAATAAGGTGTAAAGATGAGAAATAATAAAAAATTATAAGAAATAATAAATAATAATAAAATAATCTTACTTAAATTTACTTAAATAAATAAAATTTATTTAAACCGAGTAAACAATACTTGGTTTAAGTGAAGAGAATTTTTATTTAAGTAAATATGTTAATCGTACCCACTTAATAAATATTTGTTAATTTTTAGATTTTTTTTCTCAGTGTGTCTGACACGCGGATAACCCCAGTCAAAAGTATTAATACGTCAAAGCGCGAAGAACGATTATTTCTTTATAGATTTTTAAATTTATAGGTTTATGTCAGTTTTATTTATATTCTCTTGCTATAATGTCAAAGTTGTGTGTGTATCGTAAATCATATTTATAAATATTTTAGCACAGATTTATAGAGCTTTCCCGTGTTGTATTAACTATTAGTTAACGTAACTTTCTAGCAATATTAACAGAACAATTACTTGGATAGCGGGGATCTGTGAAAAGTATTACTCGATCGGCGTGTAAGGACTGAAAGTAATTGACTGAAATGATCGATTCGATTGTTCAAGGGCGGATCGATTGGCTTGACAGATACGAAGAAAGCGTACTCGCCGGCCGCGGCGAAACGCGCTGACGAGTCCCAAGAGAAAATTGTCGATTTTATCTGGAAAAGCGTACAGAACACGCGATGCGTTCAAAGCGCCTTTGATGTCACACGTAGAGAACGCGGAGCGCAGCGGAAAGAATGGCAGCGGACGTACGAACGACGTAGGTTAGCGTCACTTCCCTCGTGTCGTCGCGGGGATTAATATCTGACATTTTACGAGGTTATTACGTTTCCAACGTTATATTTGGAATAACGCTTTTGTCAGCAGAGGATGCGCGAGATAAATCGGTCGTCTGGACGAGATCGGAAAGTTCCCTCGACGATGACGGAACCGAGGTAGAACTCAAAACGAGTCAAATATTGAGTAAGGCGACTTATCTGGATTTGAACCTAGATTTGAACAGAATTGATTTGAACACATACCCCGATGACACAAAAGCGCGAGATAACGGTATGACAAAGTGCTCCTATCTTCTTCACATAAAGAAAGAAACAGACAAGTGTATCCTAAAATTACTCATGAAATATTGCAAAATATAAGATTAAATCAATAAAATAATTTCAGATGAATGTGTTTCTTCTGGCGACATTTGTCGAATCTGTCACATGGGTAACTACGGATTGATCACGGAGAATCATTCGTTCACGCTGGATTCGCGAAATTCGAGCGAACGAGCGTCGACACCGTCGAATCTCGTCTACCTTGGTTCTCTGATTTCCGCATGCAAGTAAGCCGTCGATTCATCACGAAAAACTAAGCATTAATCGTGGAACAAAGTTGCGTTCATCAGAAAATAATTTAGTAAGCGCTTCGCGCTGTGCTACCAGCAGTTTTGCAACCGTCGTAGGCTTTTTTGCTAAACGACACGAGCAGTTTATGTTGTTCCAACATAACGGCTGCGTTCTGCAGAGGAAACTGTTTTGACGCAAAATGCATCATGCGTCAAAGAACAAGCACAAAAAATGCATAAGAAATGAAACTGAATACAAGATATAATTAAATAATTTTAACAAAATCGGCACAGCTGAGACACGAATCATTCTAAATTTCTTTAGCCAAGATTCCAACCGAAATATTTTAAATCTGTGCTAAATTACTAAAAAATGATTAAAATCTCGGCCAAACTGAAATCTGACAATTTTAATAAAAATTTTAACAAAATCGACATAGCTGAAACACGAACCATTCTAAATTTCTTTAACTGAGATTCCAACCAAAATATTTCAAATCTGTGCTAAATTAGTCAAAAATGGTTCGAATCTCGGCCAAACCGAGAAAATATTTGTATAAATAATTTCTTTTCAACTTTTTACATGTTTTGTTTAAACATTTTATTATATATACAAATAATTTTACACATTTGATTTCATATTCATAATCTGCAAACTAAGAACGTCTATATCTTGTATTCAATTTTATTTCTTATGCATTTGTTGCACTTGTTGATGATAGAAGTGAACAGAACAGTAAAAAGCTATAAACTGCCTGTGAAACTCAAAGTGGGCCAAAATGAAAAAATATGACCTAAATATTTTTTGTATTTCTATATTTATGTCAAATTAGAAAGAAATCGGAGTGCACTTTTTAGGTAGATTTACTTGTAAGCTGCTTTTTCAGCTGAACGCAGCCAATGGATGTGAAATCTCGTGTCATCTAACGCGTGCAAACGTGTAACACACGAGATCATACTGAGAGAAATTATCCGATCAAAATTAACAAACGAATATTTTCGATTAAATTCCGATCAATTTTTATATCCAATTAAATTTTATCGGATATTTTTTATTAAAATGGCATTTTATCATATAAACCGATCAAAAAATTATGAACCGATGTTTCTTGATCGGATAAAAAAATTTATCGGTATTTTGATCGGAAATATCCATTTGTTAATTTTTTATCGAGTAATTTCTTTCAGTGCATGGATGCCTAAATATTTCTTAGATCGAGAGATTTTCGTCGTCTTCATACGTGTACAAATAAGATTAGAATTGTTATATATAACTCTGTCATTAAAGTTACTCATACGATTTTTAGTATCAAGTATTATATGGAAGGCTGAAAATGTCTCGATCAAGTAAATGTTCGGACATCCAAGACGCCGTGTGTACGTGAGTTAATTCTGTGCAATTGCGATTTCCGATTGAGGAGATCGTCGATTTTCTCGAGGATTTCCGCAACATAACGGAGTGCAAATGAGCCACGCTCGAGGGAGTAAAATGTAACGAGGGTAGATCGCGTGTGTTCCACCGGTATCATCTGATTTCGCGCGCCCAAGGTGCTTTTCCGCGTGTTTCTTCGCGAAAAGAATCGCGTACGAGGAGGAGGAAGAGAAAACGCGAGGCGCATCGTCGGAATGTTGCCGTGAGGCGACGGACATCATAGTCGACGTGTAAATCGTCGGGTTGCCGCGAATCGCACAGAGATTGCGCGTTAAAGCTAGATAAGTTGCGTTACTTTCAGCCTGTCGTTAGCAGCGACGACTGTAAAGGAACTCACTCACATACCGCACCAAGTGCTGTCGGATTCTAGAATGCTCGATCCAAATTTCAACCTGACGTCTCGAAATTAATAATAATAATAGGATAAAGCGTCCACAGTGAGCTGCACTCTGCTAGTTTTCGAGATTCTCACGCGGATCTTATCAAACATTAAAACTCTGGCAGAAATGTATGCAGTTTGTGCAAACACTTAATTGTGTAGATGCTTAAATTATTTTCTAATATTCAGCCTAGGTAATATTCAGCTTAATTATTTTCTAATATTCAGCCAACTCTTTCAATCACACAATTTACTCTTTATACATATTATTATTAATATAAGAAACAGAGACACTTCAGAAGCATCTCACTCTGCGTTACGTGACTTGGCCTGCACCTAATTAATAATAATAATAGCAATTAGCATAATTATCGGGTGAAAGAATCGAAAGAATCCGAATAAGTGAATTTTACACGGTTTGCTATCTGAGGGCGTTCGCGTCATCCTTCCTTAATACCGTACATATCCTGTTAACGACGTGACAGGTGCCGAGGCACGGTGGCTTTGGTGCACGTCGAGTGTCTCGAGAGATGGCTGAACGAGTCCGGTCGCGCAAGATGCGAACTCTGCGGCTACAAGTACGCGACCAAGAGGGTGCCGCGTTATGGCCTCTTTCGCAGCGTCGTGATATGGTTCCACGCCGTGATAGCCACCCGACAGGTGAGACAGGTCGTTAACGCAACGCGTCTCTTCACGCCTTCGTTTTTCGCGTGCTCGAGCGTGTCTAATCCGCAGAGTCCACTTGAACACAACACGGTCTTCATTGATATACAAGACAAGGAAGGAAAACCGAGATCTTTTAAGATTCTGACCGCGCGGAAATATCAGATGTTGCCCGATCGACTGATGTGCGTGAACTTGATAGCAATTTCAAGTTCATTAAATCAGGAAATTCAGCAACACTGAGTCCCTCTTATCATCGATCAGATAAATAGTATTTTCTTAGTGTGCTGTTTAGATTATGTGTACTCAACTTATTATATCATTAAAATTCAAATCAATTAAAAGATAAAAGCTTTCCCGTAGATTTTTAATTCTGTTTCATTTCGAAATATTTGAGTAACTCTAAAACGTTTAATTCTAATGGATATCCTATAAAAAAAAATTTATGAAAAGTTACACTCAAATTTTCATGTAACAATTAACAGGACATAGTTTGGAGCAAATTTTCAACATTTTTTTTTTTCTAATTTGTCATTCTATATGATAAAAATAAGAGTGCAATCTGACTTGTCCGAAGGAACTCAACGTTGCTGAATTTCGTGATTTAATATACTTAAAGTTTCTGTAAAATTTACATACATCAATCTATCAGGGAAATTAAAGCAGTCGTAAAGTTTCCATCAACTGTCTCACGTTGTAATAATCATGAACATTTATCTGGGGTTTGTAAAAGTATGTCGAATCGTCAATGATTTCATCGACTTTAAAAATATGATAAGCCATTTACGGCTTAAATAAAAAAAAATTATCTGAAATATGGAAGAATAATAATGATGTATATAATAATAATGACGTAAATATGGAAGTATAATAATGACGGGTGCTTTGAATGCGTTATGTTTTGCCTATTTTAGAGATATGAGTAATCAAGTATTTGTGACTTTTATTCTTATCAGTTTTTGTTTGAGTTGTGTGACACATAAATAGTATTTTCTTAATATGTTGTTTGAGTTATGTATTATAAATACTAAATTTATTATATAATTAATTAAATGGAATAAGCTTTGTCTGTAAACTTTTAATTCCATTTTATTTCGAAATATTTTTTAAATAATGGGTACCGCCTACTTTATTAATAAAATAATATTAAAGTAAAAGAAATATTAAATTATTTTAATATTATTAATATGTATTAATATCAATATATTTATATACAATTCATTTTTATATAATTTATATCAATATATTTGTAGTCATATTTTTTTTATTAATATTAATATATTAGCATTAATATATTAATATTAAATATGTAATATCTGAAAATCCGACAAATATGCAATTTGACGAATTTGCAATCCCCTAATATCGAGTTCTCCTATTTACGATATTATTCAACATTTTTTAAATATGTAATATATTTAAAAAAAATATATACACATATATAAATTAAATCTTAACAATCTCTCTCCATGAATATTTCTGATGTATTTTTAATATAAATATTCCTGGTTTTCTTTCTCACACACTTGCTATGGTTAAAGCAACGGTAAGTAGATACAATTTTCACACGCATACACACACGACGTGAGACGAGATTAAAATCAGGTTAAAAATCGCAGACAACATGCTCTTCATGTCGTATTGGCTTGAATATCGTTTCATCTAATTAGGCTCCTAATTACTATTAATTTACTACGCTTAATACGCGTTCTCCTTCGCGAGGAGATGTTACTCGACATCGGATACTTGGTGATGACCACGCCCGTGGCCGTGTTTTCATGCTACGTGTGCACCTTGGCCTTGAAAACGTTGCTGCGAAACGGCTTTTACGAGATACCGTGGATGACAGTCGCTATGCTGCCAACCTGCTTATTGACGCTGATAGCTTATTGGCGATGGATAATTATGTTAGGCAGGTACGCCCGTTAAAAAAAGAAAACAAGAAAAAAGGGGAGAGGAAGAGAAAAAAGTTTAAACCAGCGCGCCGCTCGTGCGCCGCGCTCGCTACAAAAACGCGATCGTTAATGAAAATGAAAACGAGTTAATTAAGATATCGCGCACTTCGAAGTGCGGGCTAGTCCGCAATTGTAAAATTGTTCGCCGAGCTGTAAGGAGCGACATACACCGAATCGCTCGTACTTATTGAAAAAACGATTAAGCGACGCGTTTAACCGCGTTTCGTTATAAACCTCTCCGCAAAATTATTATTTTATGTACATTTCGCGTGCACATTTTATCGACATTGTCTTCAAGGAAACCAAATTTTCGGTACGCGGAGCTTAAATTTTATTTTTATTTTTACAAGTATTGAATTATCTGGTCGTTAAATTTTGATTTCTCTGAATTTTCCGATCTCTCTAAATTATGTATTCCCTAAAATCTCCGATCTCTCTCTCCCTCCTTCTTTCTCACTCTAAATCTTAAATTTTCTCTGACTTCTAAATTACTTCTTAAATTCTCTGACCTATCTCTCAATTATAAATTCTCTAAATACTATGACCCATATCTCTTTTTTTCTTTCTCTTTAAATCCTAAATTCTTCAACTTCTATTGTAAATACCTTCAATCATTTGACTTTTTTCTTAATTATAATGTTTCTAAATTCTTGGGCTTCGCTTTCTCTTTAAATTATAAATTCTTTGAATTTTCCAACTTCTCTCTCTCTCTCTCTCTCTCTAAATAATAAATTCCCTAAATATATATATATATATATATATATTCCCCGATTTTTAAATTAAAAATTTTTTAAATATTCCGATTTTTCTTTTAATACTATTGTATGACAATAGCGTTCTAGCATTTCGTCGTATAATATTTGTGATTAATTCGCGACAACTGTGAAATATTTCGTCATAAAAACTGTGTAATCGCGGGAATATATCGCATTGCAGAGTGCACGGTCATCGATGGAGACGCTACTGGAGAAACAACTTCGTGATTCGTTTGATGCCGAGCAACGATGCGGATGACAACGTCGATAATGCGAACAACGCAAACAACGCGGCAGATGATCAATCAAACGAGTTCGTCGATGTGCACGATTTCGAGCAATGGATGCTCGAGGAGATCGAAGAGTTCGCGTGACCTTTGAACCGCGTAACGACCCTGATTAATCGCGACAATCGCGTTCTATCTTCGTTCGAATGTGCCGCCCGCGTCGCTCGACGGAATATACAGCTGCGCGATATTTAATTGCATTTTATTAATGCGAACACTTCAATTGAAGCCCATTGTCGCGTAACAAAGACGATTCGCCGCAACATCAAAGTCAAATCGAGACGCGTACGGCTCTTGTGTTTCTGCGTCTAATCGCCCGGATTTGGTATCATTACTTGTACACACATTGTTTACATATCTTTTCCTGTACCCATCTTAGAACTGAGATAACACAATAAATAAATTATCGCCAAGTGTCCCAAAAAGTTTTAAGTCGTTTTGATTTATTTTTGAAGCGTATAATCATCTTTTTTCTTGATTGTACTGTACAAATACTGTATATAGACTGTTATCCTATTCTGATGCTAATGTTTATTTACTCTTATTTTTGTCATGTTGACACTTGAAGAGGAACATGTTAAGGAGCGATTTTTCAATAGCAGTTTAAACTTGGATTCAAGTTTAAACTCTATTCTAACAATGCGTTTTGTTTAAAAAGAGTTTAAGTTGAAATCTAAGTTTAAACTATCATTGAAAAATCGGCCCCAAGAGTTTTTAGAATGACTCCGGAGTGTTATAAATATAAGTTTAAGAAATTGATATATTCGGAATTATTTATATAAAATCTTCGACTTTAATATTGTATCTCCACACTTAATTTTTACAAACAATATATTAATTGTGTAGTTAACTCAATTGCAGATAGAATACGCGTATACAATAAGTAAACATTAATCTGATAATTAAAGAGTAAATATAATTAATAGACAAGAATATTAATAAGAATAACACGTTTTCCTTTTCATTCCTTTTGATTATTATCATATTTTTTATTAATGTTAAAGATTTCATAGAATCTCGAGAGTGGAGAGAGAAAAGAAGCAAGGGCTTGTAAGATCAAATATACTGAGGAAAATAATATCTAAAAAATAACAAAAATTTATTTCTGGTGAGTAATAACATATTTAATTAAATCTAGATTCTCTTATTTAAATAGAATAAACAATTGTTCTTTTATGAAAAGCGCTATGGTTTTGAGATTTAAAGAAATGTATATTTTTTCTCATTTAAGAACAATGTTTTCTCAGTCTAGAAATATATATGTATCAGTAAATATGTTATTAGTACTCACCGCGAATAAATATATCTTTCCCAAATAGCACAAAATATTAAAAGATGTTTTAAATACGTTCTATTCCTTTAATTTGTAGGAAGTTTCGGGAGTCTTCAAGAAAATTTTTTAGTAATTTGTGCTGTCTAGGTTTTCTTTAGATATCTTATTTTCTCAGCAAATCATGTGTACTATAATGTGCAATATTTAAACTTGGCACAAACATAAATAAAATTATAGATTCAAGATGGAATTTACGGCGCAAGAAGCGTTCTTGAAGGCACGAATCGGCACTTGTGCGAGACTGGGATTCTAAATTTCGACTTGGGTATCTTCTTATTCTCAATATGCCAATCGAACATTTGTTTTAACATCGCGGAAACACGTTACAAATAATTTTACAAACCTCGAAACGTATGATGAATCGCCGCTCACGTCCCAGCGCCCTAAATCCTTCATTCTGGATTCTGGATGCAGCACACTGCTCCTGTCTGTTTCGTCGTGGTGCTAGCAGTGGTATTGACACTGACATCGGCACTGACACTCGCGTAGATACGATGCAATCGGAGAAAACGCCCGCGTTAATAACCGCAATACCGGCAAAATATTTTCACCGACAAAATCGACGAGAATAATGTAGCTAACGCGTCGTCACACATGCTCCGCGTCGCTGGTCGTCTCTAAACGCAATGACTCGGTCACGGAAAAATACGAGACGCGCGAGAATATCAAAACAATGGGCAAAAAGGGCTACGTCATCTACCACCAATCGTTAGCCGTCGTTGCCTGTACGGCCGAGAAATCACAACAATCTCAAAACGTGTATTGAAGTTCGGGGACTCTTCCAAATTATCAAGATCGTCATACATGCGGTACTTAACGGAAGCGCCCGAGTTAAGATTTAGAAGCCACTGTAAGTCTCGCAAGAGCTGATTCATGCCTCTAATAATGCTGCTTCGTTTCAAATCCTATCTTTTCACCCCTTTTAAATCCTTAAATCCTATTGAGACTTCTAGCTTCAATAAAAGAAATAATAAGCAGATGTCTTGTTGTCTTATTTTCCCATTATCTTATTATTTATCCATGTTAATTATTCAATATTTGCTCATTGTACACACTTCATCTGTAGTGGAGTAAGTCACATAATTACAATATATTGTTTATTAAAATTAGATATAGATGGAGAATATTGAAATATCTAATTATTAAATAATTATGAAGTAATTAAATTTATCAAATAGTAATTATTAAATAATTAAATGTTAAATATTAATTTTATACAAAAATATTTTATATTAAAATAGCAAAAAAGTTCTTCACATAAGAGGACAATATCCTGTGTATTGTTATATTACGAAATTCTTTATTGATCTTTAACTTCAACGAGATTTGCAGGGTCAGTGTAGGTTCAAAATTTTAATTCGAATATCACAAAGAAAAAAAAAAAATATTAACGGAAAATAGTCCAAAGTTTTACAAGTCGCAGAATACAAGAAAAACGTGAATATACAAAAATACGTAAATAATAAAACGTAAGTTTCCAAGATATTAACCAATTTCAATCGTATAATATTTTTCAAGTTCAAAATTTCGGAAAAGTATCTTTTTACGACAATTCAAAAACTAAAGCAATTTCTTAATAAATTTTAATTTCAGTTATCATTCAGTTTTCAGTTATAATATATCTTTCAAAACATTAATTAATTTTAATTTCGATCGTATATCTTGCGAGACATTAGTAAATTTTAATTTCAATTGCGTAGATAATTTCAATCACTCAAGATATCAGATAAATTTCACTTTCAATTGTATAATGCACCTTTCAAGATATTAATCAATTTCTCAAGATCTTAATTCTGTTGAGGTGCATCTTGCGCGAAGTCGACAGACCCTTCGTGTCCTGTCGTCCCACATCCGATAAGAAACCGGAAGATTTCGCGAAGGAAAAAGAGAGGCAAGAAAAACCAATTACACGCGTGTGCGCAGCACTCGCCTCCGATCCCCCTAGCGTTTCGTGAAATATTCAAATGAAATCGTTGCGGCGAATACTCGAATTAAGATCCAAGATCTCATTTCTTTCCTCTTTAGGTCCTCGCGTGGGTGACGTGATTAGGATGAGTCCTAACGGGTGAAGGGTCCGATAAGGATCACGAGATCTCAAAAGCCGGCATTCGCAATCGATCGTCCCGTTTCGATCTCGAAGCTGGCCGCTCGATTCGTCGGCTAACGAGCCGGCGCTTCCGTTCGTTGACGTCATTAAGTCGAACGATTTAATTAAGCGCGATGCTCGAGCCCGATAATTTCGTCGCTTTCGTACTTCTTTTACCTCGTATGGACATCGTCGCAACGTTTCGTGCCGCACAAAATTCTCTTTCCTAAATATATGCATTCGAAGATATGGAAAAAAAAATCAATTTTTTCTTTCAATTTTTCCGCGGATTTTTTCCCAAGGGTAGAAAAATTTAGAAAAATTCATGCGTGTTAGAATATTTTTTGGAAACTTTATCGAGAAATAAAATGTACGGTTCAAAGGGTCAAATGGCTTCCAATTTAATTTGCTAAGTCAATTTCAATCGTCAGTTAAACTGTCTCTAATTAAATTTACTAAGTTCAAGTGTTAATTGAATTTTTTTTTGTTCTTTCTGCTCATATCAGTCATCAATTAAACGGTATTTAATTGAATTCGTTGAAATCAGTCGTCAATTAAACATCCTTCGATTGAGCTCGCTCGTATGAATTGTCAGTGAGTTGAATTGAGACATATATCAAATCAATTATAAAATCGAGACAAATGCAATTAATATTTTTACAAGGATATTCAGCTACAGATAAGATTCTTGCAGCTGACTTTTCTTTTTCCACACGATAATTGGAATTCCTCTGACGCCGGTAGTTCATCTCGCCGATATCGATTGCCATTATCGATCACCATTATAAACGATGGCTCGGCGATTTGCGGCCGATAATGGAGCGCCTACCGTAACGAGATGATTTCATTTAAGCGATTCCGCTGCTACTGCACCATCACCACCGCTGGGTGACTCGCAGAGGCCGCGGAAAGCAGCCGGTAAGGGCCGCGGCACGTCGTTCTTATTAACGCGCACCCCGCGTCGATCCAATCAGCATCGTGCCGTACGATCATGAGAACCGCTGCGCGAATCTCTTACGCGACGACCTGCGCATGTAGTTTACATTTTAATGTGTGATAATGACTGGCATCTCGTGTCGTCTCGCGTGCGCCGCCGTTGATTCATAAAGCGCAGTAATTATGCCCGGCCAAGTTTCGCGCTTCTGGCCGAGATCGCGATAAATTCTCGCGTGTACATCAAGTCGTGTAAAAATTAAACGGGGCGGGCTCCAAGTATGTAGTGGCTCTAGCTAGGAATGCCCCAATGGACATCCCTTCATAGCGTCCAGATATGGTTAACCTTTAGACTGTCGGGAAAGTCACTTTTGTGGCTTTGCACAAATCTCAAAATTCTGCGTCATGTGTATGTCACTTATATAGACAAAATTTTGAGAAAAGAAAATATATTTTTTAATGAAAAAATGCCGGCAGACTAAAGATTAAGAAAGCAGCAAATTTTAGGTTAGGCTAAACTAGAGATATATAGAACAAATTTTCAATAGACTTTTATGAATGCATCGATGCAGATGATTTAAAACAGACATGCTAAAGCTCAAATATAGCCAAAATAGACAAATTCCGAATGGAATTCCGCGAATATGTCATGAATTAACACTAATATAGAAGCTCCAAGCGAGGAGCTTGTACTAATAAAACTTCGAATACTACTAATAAGTACTGATAGCAAACATGAATGTGAGAAAAAAGTTGGTGAGTGTTAGTATCTAGTCTAGTTAGGCATATACCAAGATAGGGCTTACTTAGTCAGATGTACAAGTCTAGGTGATAATTTGTATGAGTGTCATATTTCTGTGTAGGGCCTAAGTGGATCTGCCTTTATAAAGCCTTGATAGAAATAGGGAAAAACTGTCTAGGCCCTTTTTAATCCCTTGTTTTAAACTCCGAGGTATGTCATTTTCACCGTTTCTCCTCCAATCGTCTTGTTCCTTTTAAATTATTATTATTTTCATCCCGATCTTTATGCGCTCGGCTCGCCGAGCGGAAAACAGAACTCGGAACTCGGAGTCTGCTCGGCGCGTCGAGGAAGAAATGAATCTTACGCAGCAGCGTCCCCGCGAATGCATCCGGTTCTTCCAGATTCTACGCGACGATGCGCTCGGAGCCCCTCTTCTTTGCCTTGCGTTCCTAGACGCGGCGAGGGAATAGGAAAAAAAAGGAAAAAGGAGACGAAAAGGATACCGCCTTGCCGTACGAGCAGCCGTCACGGCGCAATCCTTTCCACCGCTCTCTCACTCGCGACAAAAAGTAGTATTTATGCGGCGGATATTTGTCTCGCTGACAGACGTTCCTCACCACCGGTGGATTTAGTACGGACCTGTAGTCCTTAAATCTTTTGATCCACGCGCGAGACAGACGCGAGTCTCGCCTGTAGAGGAAGAGAGCGTTAGATGCGTAAAGGAAGATATTGAGAGCTTTGGCGGTAAGCGGCCAATAACGAAAGCGGTTAACAAGAGTCGCGGCTGGATATCGAGTGTAATATACAGGGTGTTTGGTAATTCACATAGGAATCGCGATATACAGGTAGATTAGGTAAAACTGGATGAAAAATTCCTCTACCATTTTGCGAACAAGCACGTAAAATTTTGAGTTATTAATCTAAGAAGATTCGTGAATAATCGCGCGTCATACAGTGGATGAGCTATGAATCCGAAATTTTTCTGTTATGTCAGGTTTTTGAGAAAATTGAAAGTCAGGTTCATCCACTGTGTTGTTTCAAAAATAACCAAAAACATGTTTTTTCGCATTTTGACCTCAATTTTTTGAAAAAACCACCCGTGATAGAAAAATTTCACTTCCGGATTCAGCGACCAAAAATCTACGAGAAATGATACATTTCATCCATATTGCACGTTTAATGTCGACCTGTGTTATTATTCAGTTGTTCTTAATTATATTACTAATTATATCATGATATTAATTATATTATCAATTATATCTTTATTGTGTAAGTTCATCCATTCCCAATTTTGACAGTTTGGTGAGCTCCCAACTTCATCGGGTCTAAATCGCTTTGCAAGCCACTGTATACTATCGGAAATATTTCTCGTCGCGCATTCGTCCTTTGTCTTTCGATTAATACGCGCGATACTTCGCTCGAGCGAAATAACATGACTAAATAAATCCTCGAGCATCGCGTCCCAACCCGGTGTGTCTTATGACGTCCTACGACGGCGTGCTAACGAGAAATCTCCTTGCCCGGGGCGACATAGATCGCAATTAAAGGAGAGTTCGAGTCTGATTTAAGGAGCCGTAAACGCTGATTGAACCGTAAACGATTCGCGAGAGCGCCGAAGCGACCTCGACGCGGAATTTGTTCGCCGCGAGGAGAACCGATAAATTCGTTCGCGAATAGAAGAACAGATAGACGCGCTCGAGTAGTGTAGTCGGCTTTATTCGTGGCCGCTCGCTTCTTATTATTCATGAACTTAATTATCCGTCGTATTCGTGATAAAGAGCAGAAAGGCAGACGCCGAAGTCAACGACGTGCGCTAATTATTCGACCCTCTCGGCGGAACGTTGCCAAGTTGAAATTTAGAATTTACCATGAATCTTGTAGGTGCC